AACTAGATAGTTCTCAAATGATGGTATGCAGATTTTGCTCTTCAAAGCCTGATATTACTGATGCATGATACCAAACAATCACTGGCAATATTCAAATCATCTATACCATCTAAGCATGCCATTTTTGATGATTGTCAAGTATAATTTTAATTCCAGAAATGAGGAACATAAGAATTCGACAAAAACAGAAGGTGCTGGCATAGCTCAGCAGATCTGCCAGCGTCTATGAAGGAAAAAAAGTCAGAGTTATCATTTTGGGTCTGGTAACACTTCCACAGAACTCACCGGAGGGTCACCGGACCTGAAACATTAACTCTGATTTTCTCTCCACAGATGCTGCCAGACCTGCTGAGCTTTCACAGCAACTTTGTTTTTGTTCCTGATTTACAGCAACCGCAGTTCTTTCAGTTTTTATGAAGTTGACTGATGAGAAACTGGAAATATTCCTTCGCCCTTGGACTTGATCGACACATTTTTATTGGCTCTGTTGTAAATTTCAACTGAAACAAGTTGCTCCTTAGAAGGGGTCATAAATGATTCATGAACCTGTCAGGGTGGTAGGGTCAATGGTGGGGTGTCATGGCAGTGGAGGAAATTTGAACAAAGGCTTGGGAAATTCCAAACTAGACAAATGCAAAAACCTGAACGTTACTAAGGTCAACCAAGGATAGGCATCTGAGGATAATACTGCCCACATGCTAAAAAAGGAATTTTGTAACAAAAGACTCTGCTATTATGTTGTGTGGTTGAATCATCTTCCTATGTGAACAATGAAGTGCAGAAATGTACAATTTCTTAAGTTACTAGTACAGAACAGAAATGTTTTGACTCTGAGGATCGACGGTTCATTTACTTAATATGTGAGTGTGCTCCAGTGCCACAAATGACATTATTTAAAATATTTCAGATGACAAAATTCCTTTTATAGCAGAAGTAATTGCATTTAACTGCAATGGTTGTCCACTGGAGTATATTTGCAGAAGTATTCTTTAAATGACATATTTTTTCAGGAGAAAAATACTAGCTTGCCAGGCTGAACTCTTAATCCTGGGATTAGTAGTAGACTGACATTCTGCAAGGATGTGTTCTGATCCTTGTTTGTCTTATTTACTTGTTTATGTATTTGTGTTTGTACTTTTATTCAAGAATAACACCAACTTAGATTCTTAAAAACAGTCTTGAAGCTGTTCATAGGAGTATTAACAACAACATTTATCACTGTGTCACACAAGGAGATATTAAGGCAATGACTAAATCTTTTTTTGAAGAGGGAAGCTTTTAAGGAACATCTGAAGGTTGATAGGCAGAAATGTTTGGCAGAGAATTCCAGAGCTTAGGATTTTGGTGGCCATGTCATCAATTACCAATGGTGAAATGATTAAAATTGACTATGCTTCAAAAGTGTTGAATTGGAGGAGAGCAGCATCTTGGAGGGTTAAAAGACTGCAGCACATTATAGTGATAGGAGGAGCAAAGGAATGGATATATTTGAAATTAGAAAGAAATTCTAAAAATTGAAGCACTGCAACATAGGCCAGAAAATACACGGAATGGGATTTTATGCAAAATTTGATGCAGGCACTATTTTGGATGATCTTGGCACTTTGTGAGGGTTAAAGAAAGATGCATTGGTGTGTGGTCAAATCTGGAGATGATTGATGCATCAATGAGATTTTAATCCAGCAAATGAACTGAGGCAAGGGTTGATTTGGACAATGTTAGAGGTGGAAATAGGCAGTTGTAATGATAGTCTGGATGTGTGCTCTGAAACTCCTTTCTGGTTTAAATATGTTAACAACAAGGTTGCTTAGTTCAGCCCCAGATAGTGGCCAGGAAGAGAGATCCAGGTGATGGAAGGAGACCAAATATTTGACATAAAGGCGACGGATTTGGTCTTCCGAAAACTTCGTTCAAAGAAATTGCTACTTTTCTATGATGGAATGTTGGATAAACAATCTGACAATTTGGAAGTAGTAGAGGGTTTGAGAAAAGAAACGACTGTTTTAAGATATTCCTAGAAGCTTTGTTTCTTTTTCTGCACTCTTCTAATGAGGAGTTTCTGAAAAATAATGGTTGAATCTATATTTTTAAACTGTAGTTACCAAAGTATGGGATGCAGTGGACTGATTAACAATATGATGTTCCATTCGAGTTTACTACAATAAGCAATGTCAGCATTAATGCAAATCATATGCTTAAGATTCAAAAATCCACAGTGCTGATGTTTCTCTTTTATTTTTCACAAACGCTGATACCCATTCCAAATTTAGTTTGGTGAGTAGTTGTTTATTTAAGAAAAGCCCACAAAACTGAAGGATTTCATTAAATTTTCAATAGAATCACACTATCCCTACAGCGTGGAAGCTGGCCATTTGGCCTGTTGAGTTCATACCGACCCTCCGAAGAACATTCTATCCGGACCCACTTCCCTTACCCTATCCCTGTAACCGTATATTGTCCCGTAGCTAATCCACCTAGTCTGCACATCCATGAACGCTATGGGCACTTTAGCATGGCAGTCCACCTGGCCTGCACATCTTTGGACTGTAGGAGGAAACCAGAGCTCCCGGAAGAAACCCACGCAGACACGGGGAGAACGTGCAAACTTGACACACAGTCGCCCAAGGGCAGATTCAAGCCAGGACCCTGGCGTTGTGAGGCAGCAGTGCTAACACTGAGCCACCATGCTGCCCCTTGGCTCTTGAGGGTTTATGGTTGTTGTAAGTTTCTGGTGGGAATATGGCTAAAATAATTTTTTTAAAAGAGTAACTCCCGGTGTGTGCCAAGTTGGAATTCTGAGATGTATCAAGCATCTGTGGTTCATAAGCTTCATTTTTACGATAGATGCTTTAAAGAAAAATGAGACTTAAAAATTAGAATTAATGGGACAGCAATGAGTAAGGACTGTTTACATTGTGAAACATTGTATGAGCATTTTCTTTTGACCAAATGCATGTTCTGAAAATTCTCCCGTGTGGCAATTATGGCTATTTTGTCATATTTTACAGCTGCAAGTTGATTTGTCTTCTGAATGGAATTTTGTGGTTTTCAAGTCATACCTTTAGAAGAAGCTTTATAGTTGGAAATGAATTCTAAAGGTTTTTACGAAACAAAAGGATAAGATTCAGGTGCTAATTAAATGCCAATTGATTTGAGTTTTATTTTGTTGGGCTGTATAGAAAAGATTCATGCTTTATTTAGTCAAGAATTGTGAGGTTTTTCCTTCAATTTTCAGCTTGCTTCAGTTAGAATAATCCCATATTTTTATTTTCAAAAGCCACAATAGTCATCACGTGGTCAGACCAGCAGAATTTTAACCTAATAAATTGTAAGTTAAATTTGTTAATAAATGCAATTGGTATTTGGCCATTGCTTGTGTAATATGACCAACATATCACCTCTTCATAGCGTGCTGAAACTGGAAATACCTGACAGATAAAACCAATAAATGGCGCATCTCATATCATTCCACATTTGAGAGAATGTCAGTGAATTGCACCAATGTTATATCTTGCTGAAGTATTTACTGCAATTTGCTAACCCTTTGAGTGAGGTCAAAATTGTGGATTCATTCAAAGAGCACATGCCAAAAGAAATGTTTTTTCATTATGTAGGAAGGAGAGCGAGAAGATTTGTTATTTTTGTCAGAATATTATAGACAAGCACCACAGCTCATCAAATACTGTAAATAAGTTGGCCAAGTTTCAAAGCATGCCCCATTTTAAAGCCCCATTTAATTTGTTAAAATATAAATATTAACCATTTAGTGTCATCAGAATGTTACAAAAAGAATGCAGTAAAGAAACTGAAGAAGTAACTTAAAATGTGACTTTTCTGTATTTGTTAAAAGTTGAGTTTGTTCTACCCTACTGCATCAGTTGGTTCATGCTGTGTAAAAGCAACAATTCTACCATCCAGAATTAAGAAATATAACTTAAGGTAGCACCCCTTCCAAGAGATTTTAGGCTCTAGAGTCAAATGTTCTTCCTCCTCCACATGCTACACACAATTTGTGCCTACCAATCTCTTTCTAGTTAGGTCCTGTTTCATCAATTTTGCAACTCCAGCCCTCCAAGCAGGATAAGTTGTAGCGATTCGCATCTCTCAAATTGAAATATTCCAGTTTATTAATTTTGGCTTTTGGAGTAAGCACCATTTGTGATGTTTTGTTCCGAGCTTGGACTGAATTATTTTTGAGCCTTGCTATAAATGTAAACTACAATTTACACAGTTGCCAATTTTATCTTAACTGAGTTAATACAGTTGACATTCTTGCTACTAAAATTGCAGATGGAGGTAGTTCTTTCTTTTCCTTTTGTATTCATCACCAAACAACTTCATTGTAGTCACCCTGGACTATGTTTATTTTTGAGAATTGGTGAGCGATCATTCAGTTTAAACCAAAATGACCTTCCACGATAAGATCTAATTTGTAAGCAATTGTCAAACTCCAATGAAATTACCATGTTAAGGAGCCAAAACCAGTCATTTGTAAAGGTTCGTTATGTACATGTCTTTGTTCCTGCATCATCTTTAGAGTTGTACTGTTTTTAGTTTGTATTGCCTTGCTTCATTCTTCTTACCAAAATGATTCTACTGCACTTCTCTGTATTCAGGCTCATCTGCCATAAGACATAGGAGCGTAATTAGGCTATTCAGCCCCATCGAGTCTGCTCCATCATTCAATCATGGCTGATATGTTTCTCAACCCCATTCTCCAGCCTCTTCATGTAGTCCTTGATTGCACTAGTGTTTTATATTTTGAAGAATATTACTGTTCTCTCAATTCATAATACATTGGGTTTTTTTGTCATCTGAGATTTTTGAATTTGTGTCCTGTACACCCAAGTCTAAGTCATTAATATATATCAATGATAGCAGTGGTTCTAGCATCAATTTCTGTGAACCCCATTACTTATCTTCCAGAATGGTCTACACATTTGGAATTTCACTGCTTGGTCCCAGTGTCTAACATATTCCTTTTCCACGTTCTACTACAGGCATGGGACCCGATGTGCAGGAGAAGTAGCTGCTGTTGCAAACAATTCGCATTGCACGATAGGAGTTGCTTACAATGCCAAGATTGGAGGTTTGTGAAATCTTCTAAGTCTAAAATGAAACCAATGATCTGCAAAGGATAGCCTGCACTCTGTGGCTACCTTCTTTTAAAACTTCACTTTTTTTAGTGCATTGTTTACTTTGGAGAGTTTTTGCGGGTAGGGGAACACAAATATATGGTAGAGGCAAGGGAAGGAAAGGAAGGATGGGATATTTAGTCTGGAACACCATCTGTTCACCTCTTGGTCCAAGATCAAAAGTTCAATCTGTACTGATGGAATGAATGTCATCTTTCCCTGCCAAATGATAAGGATACAGTGTGGAGATGGATTTGAAAATCTCCAATTTCTGCACAGTGGATTTGAATTCACAATTAATTCCTTGAATGTGTCTGGATAGTTTACTACAGCAAGTTCCTATTAGACAAAATAATAAATGGAGTTTCGTTAGCGGCCTTATAGTGTATGAACGTTTTATTTAATATTAATCCTAATACAGTAAAGTTCAACATTGTTTTGCATTTCTGTCTTATAAATGCTATTGCTGAAATTGTAGACCGTAGCAAGGTTGCCACCAGTGGGATGAAATAGTCTGTCAACAATAAACTGGTCAAATCTGTTGATGGAGAAAATGCAAAGGAAATTGAATAGAGAATTCAACATTAAAAAGAACCAATTTGTGCTTGTAAAAGGCAAGAATTCAACATGTCAATGTGGCAACCATGGACAGTTAAAGGAGAAAGAGAATATAAAGATAAAACATACCAATTTGTTTAAAAGACAATTATTGTAATTGGAAGAGATGTAATGTGTAGCAAGTTGTTAAAAAGCAGACAAGAATGGAGAATGAAAAGAAACGCATGAGGCCTCAAAATCATCACAATCTTTTACAAATATATTAAGATGAAGAAGATAGAATCATTGTGGCCCCTTGAACACTGATCATCATGATGTTATCAATGAAAATCAGAAAATGGCAGGTGCACTAATTAATTTGCTTGGTTAATAGATATCACTGGGAAATTATTATTGAATTGGAAAACTATGAGCGTCAATATTTAAGAATAGAATGACTGAATACCTCTAAAAATGTCCAGCTGATTAGAGAGTGCTGGCATGGAATTGTAAAAGGTAGCTCATGCCTAACAAATCTGAATTTTTTTAAACAAATGGCAGAAGTAGTGAATATGAAGAAGGCATTTTGAAAATGTTTCTCACAAGAGACAGTTACCTACAGTCAACTGTAATGGAACTAAAAACAAATTGTTGATCCAGCCAGAAAACTGACTGAGCAAAGGTGATGGGTGCCCGTTTCTATTCCTGGGTCAAGAACAGAGCTTGGAAAGCTGCTGGCTTTGTGAACCCAGGCTTTAAAAATGGCCACCCACACTTCACATGCTTGGTCTGTGTGTGAATGGGCTGGAATGGTAATTGGGCCAGGAGACCCAGGAAGATTTTTTGAAAATTTCTGCCTCAGGACCTGGGTTGGTTGGAAAGCCTCCATGGGGACCTGGCACTGTAAGCAAAGTTGTAAAAATCACAATTAAAACAGAAACCATCCCTCCAGCTCTGACCCCCTCAGTCTCTTTGCCAGCCAATGACCCTACACTTACCTCAATGGCCCTTCATATCCTGTGCCACCCTTTACTCATATACCTATATATCCAACCTCCCTGGCCCCTCCTATCTCTTAAGCTTCCTGTTTTGTCCTTGACCCTTTATAGCCCCTGCAAAACTCAGTGCTAACTCAGCCCTAATCACATCTTTGACCTTGTTATGCTAACTAACCTATTATGTGACATATACAGGAAGTAAAATTACCAGCCTGTTGGTTTTGTCACTACTGAGGGGGGAAAAAAGCACGCTGTCATTCATACAAAATCAGCATCTAGTACATGAAATGGCAAGAACAATTGCTCAAGAAATCAAATTTAGCTGTTCAGTTACTTATATAAACCAAAGTTTCATTTATGGCTAATACTTTAGTCAAACATTTCCCTCAAGTAATTAAAAAAACTTTTGAATAAACATTTGCATTAAATAAACAGATGGAACTATTTACCAATAGACATTCCATTGTGAAAATGATAGTTTGAGAGAGCAGTCATGTAGCACAAATCTTAAAGTAGTTTAATGTAGGCGGGCACTGTCGAATACCTGAGCAGCATTTTAAATTCATCTTTTTTATTTGGACAGTTTTTTGCCAACATTGCAAATCCCAATGAGTTTATGCAAGTTCAGGCACATTCATACCTTTTCACAATGCTGAAATTTGCCTTGCCTGTCACAAAGTGTCCCTCACCTCCATGAAAGACCTCCCAGGAGCAAATACGAAGGGGTACCTTATCTCTGCAAAAAGTGGGAAGTGTAAAATATTCCTCCCATACTCGCTCCCACATATTTCCTGTGCCAACTTGTGCAACCTAGTGCACTCTGCCCATTCCATATGCCCCATGCCAACTTCATGCCTACTTCCAGGCACCATCCTTTCCCTGTTCACCTATAATACCAATGCATTGAGTACCCTGGAGAAGTAGAGTTTCAATAATACTCAAGAAGCTCAACATTTATCCAGGATAAAACAGCCGGCTTAATTGGTACCCTATTTAATGCCTTCGATATTTACCCCTTCTACCACCAACACACAATGACAACAGCATATAACGTGTCCAAAGAATGGATTTTAAAAAAATCCATATGTACCTATGCATACAAGAGAAACGATACAGGTGTAAGTTAGTTGGGTTAGCCATGGGAAATGCAGCGTCATGGGATGGGGGTGGTGGGGGGGGTAGGTATGTGTGGGATGCTCTTCTGAGGGTCGGTGTGGACTGAGTGGGCTGAATGGCTTGCTTCCACATTGTAGGGTTCTGTGAAAGGTCTGTTACATAAATTTCGATTTTGTAGATTATACTATTTTGAGAAAAATGTTGTTATCTTTAATTATTTCTTCAAGGATGCAAGTGTTGCTGCTAGGGCTCGCTTTTATTGTTTATCCCTACTTGGTCCTTGAGAAGGTGATGGTGGCGAGCCACATTTTGAATGGCAATATGGTCCCAAATCGAGATGTGGTGTGGCTTGAAACGGAACTTGCAGGTGGTTGTGGTTGTGGTGTTTTCATACATCTGCTCCTCTTGTCCTTTTAGGTGGATGTGGTTGCAAGTTTGGAAAGTGTTGTCAACGGAGTCTCAATATTTATATATCTGGTCAAATGCAGTTTTTGGTCAATGATATTGAGGGCTTCTGAGATGGTGATAAGACCATAAGAAATAGGAGCATGAGTATGAACATATTTGGCCCCTCGAGCATGCTCTGTCATTCATTAGGCTCACGGCTGATCTGACATTTCTCCCATCTGTTTTTTGGGTGACACAGTGGCACAATGGTTATCACTGCTGCCTTACAATGCCAAGGACCCGTGTTTGATTCCAGCCTTGGTTGACTGTTTATGTGAAGTTTGCATGTTCTATATGTGCTTGCATAGGTTTCTTCCCACCGTCCAATGATGTGCAGATTGGCCATGCTTAAAAATTTCCTGGTGGTGTCAGGAAATTTTAGGTGTTAGGTGAGTTAGCCATGCTGTTGATCGAGATTTGGCTAAATGTCCAAGTTGGATTTATCCTGCCTGTTTGGACTGGATGTCCCTGGGATTTTTCTGCAGTCATGCATTGAATTAATTGAGGACTGTAATCTCTGATGCTGGTGACCTCAGGAGAAGGCCAAGATGGATCATCCATTCAACTTTTCTGTCTGAAGATTAAGGCTTCAGTCCTGTCTTTTGCCATGATGTATGGGGGTTCCGCTGTTCGTTGAAGATGGAGATATTTGTGGAACCATCTCCTTCAGTGAGTTGGTTAATTGTGTACCACCATTCATGACGATGGCAGGATGGCATAACTTCGATCTAGTCTGTTGATTACTTTCACCTATCTGAAAGTTTAAATAAAAATTGAAGAATATTAAGTGCTTTTAAGTTGGCTTTCTTTGCGAATATTTCTTTTTTCGAATATGAAACCAAACAGAGAATAGATTATTTCAAGTATGGTAACATTGCATGATACAAAATTGATCAATTATCTCATAAGAGATCCTCTAGTGAAGAGTAATCATTAACATTAGAGAATTTCACATTGAGTTACAGGTTGATAAACTTGGGTGGGAAATCATTGTTTTAACCATCAATAAAGAACATGACAAAGGGGTGAACATAGAGTTGGCAAAAGTCAACTGGCAAAATAAATTAAAAGTCAAGACCGTAAATGAGCAATGGCTGACATAAGGAAATATTTCTTAACTTCCAGCAAAGATATATTAAAATTGAGGAATACTGTAGAAGAAAGACAATTGAGGAAATTAACTGTGCCATCAAATCAAAAGAATAGGAGTACAATGCTATGAAGATTAGTAGTATGTCTAAGGATTTTAGAAAACAACCAAGGATTGTTTAGGGAGAAAACGGAATTCATATTTCTTGCCAATTTATTTAAATGGGCGGTGAGACCTTCTACAAGTATATAATAAGAGAGAAAGTAGCTAAGGCAGATGTTTGTCCCTGTGAATGATTTGGTTTGGAACTAAGGCAATCTCCTAAATATCGAACAGATTTTTGATACCTTACTTTTTGCTTGAAGACACCAAAATCTCAATTGTATACAATCAGGGAACGAAAGGGAGGGGTGACCTTTGAAACAATAATTATCACTAGAGGGGAAAAGGGATCAGGCAAACTAATGGGATTAAAAGCTGACCAGACCCTAACCCTAACTGCCTGCATTCTAAGGTCAACAGGTGTGAAGCTGGAAAAGCACAGCTCCATCAGTCCTGATGAAGGGTTTTGGCCCAAAACATTGACTTCCCTGCTCCTCGGATGCTGTCTGACCTGCTGTGCTTTTCCAGCTCCACATTTATTGACTCTGGCTTCCAACATCTGCAGTCCTTACTGTCTCCAAGCCTGCATCCTAAAGTCTTAGAAGTCAAACATTTGTTGTAATCTTCCAAAATTCCCTCAATTGTAGAAAGGTCCTAACTGATT